GAGAGAGAGATAGAAACATCATTGAGAGAGAAACATGGATCAGCTGCCTCCTGCACACGCCCTACTGGGGACTGAGCCTGAAACCCAGGCATGTGACCAGGAATTGAAACACGAACCTCCTGGTGCATGGGACAATGCTCAACCAACTGAGCCATACTGGCCTGACCAAAGCCCAGTTTCTTTTCCTGCCACACCATACTGCCTATCTTGAAAATGCTTAGTCTCAACTTCTTTCTTTTGATAAGAAAATACTAAAGCCAGGTCGTACTAATAAGAATTTCCAAGGTCTTTTGATTCTCAGGCCAAGACTCTTTCTCTAAACCCTCTACTGCTCATCACAAAAAACAAAACCAGAATCTGGCCTGGACCACCACCCAACCACTTGCTATTTTGTCCACCCTTGACTTCCTGACCATGGCTGAAAGCTGACCCATATTGGACCATTTCTCCCATTTGCATAAGCTTCAACAACTTGTCCTTCCTCCTGCCAAGCTTTGCTAAGTCAGACTTTAGAGATTTCAAACCTCAGCGATGGCATTTTTGACTCTCCCTCCCCTTCCCCCGCCCACGCCAAACTACTTTCCTACTTACTCCTACTGAGTCAAGACTGAGTCTGGGGAGAGGATATCTTCTTGGGGACACTGTTGAATTCCATGGGAAACTCAAGTTGGGCTCTTCTGCCACCATCCCAGAAAGGCTAAAGCAGAAACTGGGAGGCAGGAGGTCTTTTCCCCCTCAAATTCAAGGTAGTTCACCAATGTTCAGTGAAAGCCCAGATATAGATAGAAAGTAAAAAGGAAAAGTATTTAACCCAGCCTGGGTAGAAAGAGGGGTCCAAGGAAGGTTTCAAGGAGAGGATAAGTTCTGAAGGATGGCTAGCAATTAGTCAGGCAAATGGTGGATATTAGAATAGTATGCTTAAGGGCTTGGAAACAGAGGAAATTCAGAGAAGTACATGAGTTCAGGTATGTCTGGAGCACGCACATGTCTGTGTGTGTGTGTGTGTGTGTGTGTGTGTGTGTGTGTGTGTGGTTTCAAGGTAGGGTGGCACTTATGATTTCATTTCCATTTTAGAAAGATCCTTGACTATGGGATCAATAATTGATTACAAGAGCAGGGCAGAAGTGGAACTAAAAAAAACAATTTGAGGTGTCTATGAGATTTCCAAGTGGACAAAAGATAATAGTTGCATCATTTCAACTGAAGTTTAGACTATGGAGATGGGGGAAAGTGGATTTATTCAGGATATATTTTGACAGTAGATCTGATAGGACTTCATAAATGTCTATATGTCAAAAAGAGGTGAGGGAGGAATCGAGGATGACTGGCTTGAGTTATTGAATGGGCGATGGTCCCATTGAAATAAATAACATTATGTAAAGGTTTGACGTAGAGAGAGAAGAGGACAGCTGATTTCAGCTTTGCAAATGCTGAGTTTAAGATGACATTAAAACATTCAGATGGGGTCATTCCAAATGCAGATCAATATACAAATCTTGAGTTCGGGAGAGAGATCTGCCCTAGAGGTCTAGACTTAGGAGTCATTACCAAAGGGACAGAGTGGATGATATCACTCACAGAGAATGTGGGAAGGGGATGGGTGGAGGTGGAAGAGGGCATAGAGGGGATACATGGTGATGGAAAAAATAAAAACAAAAAAAAGTAAGTTCAGAAAGTCAATCCATTAACAATTCCCCTTTCAAAAGGAGGCCCAATAAAAACATGGACTATTGTGAATAAAAAAAAAAAAAGTCTAGCAGTCTATATAAAACCCTCAGTGGAATAGTCAGATTTATAGAGGGGCAGAAGAAGAAGAACTTATAAAGGAGACCTAGGAGAATAATTTTGAGGGGCAGGGAAAACTGGGAGTGGTGTTATACAAAACAAGGGAGAAGACAGTTTTATGAAGGTGAGGGACAAGGTGAGATGACAGAAATATGACCATTAAATTTTGAGACAAGGAAATAATTGCTAATCTTAGTGAGAATATTTTCAGTGGAGGGCTAATGGCAGAAGCAAGACTGCAGAAGGTTGAGCAGTGAGTGGGAAAGGAAAGAAGTAGAGACATCAATATTAAATGGCTTGTTTAAGAATCTTGGCTGCAAAGAGAATGCTGTGGATAGGCTAATAGCTGGAAAGAGTAGAAGGAGGGTGGCTCAAATAAAAAAAAAAATTAAAAAAAAAAAAAAGGAGTGATAAGTATTTGAAGTAGTCACCTGGAGCTGTTCACCAGGGAAATGGAGAAAAACTTCGAAGCAGCACTGAAGGTCCAGTGGGATGCACAGTCATGATCAGGAATTGTGCCCCATTTAGCAATAAGAAGGCCAATGCCTGGAAAAGACTTGCACAGGGTCATGGCTGGAAAGTGACAGCTGAGATTCAAACTAGATTTACCTCCCCACCTCCTATCAAATGTTTATTGGTCCCTGCTTTGCATCAACATTGGAATTGTCATGACCATCATGGATGAATACTATTAACTATCAACCATGTGCCCAATGCAGCAGAGGCACAACAGAAGTTTAATATATGGTTTCCTCCCTCAAATTGTTTAGAGATTGGTTGAAGAGACAAGGTATTCAGCAAATGTATATACATATAAAATGGTAAAGAAAATGTAGGGAGCAAAATATCAGACCTCTCACATAGCAGTATCTTCACAGATACATTGCCTAGGGTAAGAGGAACAAAGGGAAAAGATATGCAAATGGAACTACATCAAAATAAAAAGCTTCTGCACAGTGAAGGAAACCAGCATCAAAATAAAAAGGAAGCCCACTGTATGGGAGAACATATTTACCAATGATACATCTGATAAGGGGTTACTATACAAAATATATAAAGTATGTCTACAACTCAAGAAAAGGAAGACATACAATCCAATTAAAAAATGGAGCCCTACCTGGTTTGGCTCAGTGGTTAGAGTATCAGCCCACGGGCTGAAAGGCCCTGGGTTTGATTCCAGCCAAGGGCCCCTTCCGGGGTGTGTGTGGGAGGCAGCCAATCGGTGTCTCTCACATCGCTGTTTCTCTCTTTCTCTCTCTCCCTCTCTCTCTCCCAATCCCTTCCACTCTCTCTGAAAATTAATGGAAAAAATATCCTTGGGTGAGGATTAAAAAAAGGAGGGGGGCAGATACGCACGGAGAGGTTCAAATCTGGGTCAGGGCACATGCCCAGGTTGTGGGCTTGACCCCCAGTAGGGGGCCTGCAGGAGGCAGCGGATCGATGTGCTCTTATATCGATGTTTCTTCTCCCTTCCTCTATCTCTAAAAGCCAATAAATATTCTTTAAAAAAAATGGCAGAAGACCTGAATAGACACTTTTCCAAAAGAGGACATACAAATGGCCAAGAGACATATGAAAAAATGCTCAGCGTCACTAATCATCAGAGAGATGCAAATTAAAATGACAATGAAGTACCTGCTAGAATGGCTATCACCAATAAATCAACAAATGACAAGTGTTGGCAAGGATGTAGAGAAAAGGGAACCCTAGTACACTGCTGGTGGGAATGCAGACTGCTGTAGCCACTATGGAAAACAGTGTGGAGGTTCCTCAAAAAATTAAAAATAGATGCCCGACTGAGCATGGCTCAGCGGTTGAGCGTCAACCTAGGATCCAGGAGATTGCGGTTCGATTCCTGGTCAGGGCACATGCCCGGGTTGCGGGTTCGATCCCCAGTGGGGGACCTGCAAGAGGCAGCTGATCAATGGCTCTCATCATTATTTCTCTTTCTCTCTCCATCTCCCTTCCTCTCTCTGAAATCAATAAAGATATATTTTTTTAAAAAATTAAAAATAGAACTGTTGTTTGACCCAGTGATCCCCCTTCTAGGAATAGATCCTAAGAAGCCTGAAACACCAATCAAAAAGAATATATGCACCCTTATGTTCATAGCAGCACAATTTACAATAGCTAAGATCTGGAAACAGCCCAAGTGCCCATCAGTAGATGAGTGGATAAAAAAGCTGTGGTACATTCACACCATGGAATACTATGTAGCTATAAAAAATAAGGATCTCTTATCCTTTGGGACAGCATGGAGGGACCTGGAGAGTATTATGCTAAGTGAAATAAGCCAGTCAGAGAAAGACAAATATCACATGATCTCACTCTTATGTGGAATCTAATGAACGCAATAGACCCAGAGACATTGAAACATGCAACAGATGGACATATTTCAGAGGGAGGGGTGGAGGGGAAGAGTTTAACCAAAGAACTTATATGCATGTATGCATAACCCATGGACACAGACAATAGTGCAGTGAAGGCTGGGGAGGGGGCAAGAGGGGGTCATTGGGGGGAAAAGGAGGACATCTGTAATATTTTAAACAAAAATAAAATAAAAATAAAAAAGAATTACTCCCAGGATTTTGGTCTGGCACAAGAGGATGGATAGAGATATCATTCAGTGTCCATTAGGGAACCCAGGGAAGAACTGTTTGGGGGAGGAGTGTGGTGGGAAAAGTGACAATTTCTCTTTTAAACACATTGAATTTTAGCTGCCTATGAGATTTTCAAGTAGACATTTTAAATGGGTAATTGTTTTGGCAATCTTGAGGCTCCAGAGGAAGGTTTGTCCTGGAAATACAGATTTTGGAATGCCAGTGCATGGGTGTGAGATTAAATCATGAGGGTGCATAAGTGTGTTCAGGTACAGAGTGTTGATTGAGAAAAAGGATGGCCTTCTAAAGAAAACTCACATTTAAGAGATGGGTAGGGTAAGAGAAATTTTGAGGAAGGCTAAAATGGAATAGCCAGATTACGGTGGGTTGGAAAGTTAGTGAGCTGGAGGATCTTGTAGAGGATGGGAGGAAGGATGTGTCCTTGACCCTTAGTGTCTTGAACCTTGGCAAGATTAGGGGCTCCTTCAACACTGCAAAATCCTGGACAGCTCTGAGATTCCAAAGGATTGGCTTAGATGTTTTCCCTTACAAAGCCCTCTATTCAACTTCCCTTTCCTCTGTTCATCTTAACAGAGAGCCCAGGGAATTTCAGGGCTCCATCCGGGCCCTGAAATAACCTTTGCTCCAGAGTCCCCCCACATTATCTGAGAGGTCTGGGGCTGATGTGGCCATCTATTAGGAGAGCAGATGGAAAATGTCTGGGTGTATTACATATGCAGAAGGCTTTAGGCTAGCCTGTGGAGGGGGATTTGGGCAGGTCCTGGAGGACCTGAACTCCTAGAGTATAGATGGAAGACTTTGTTTCCTGCCCCAACCTGCTCTGGAGTAGATTTTCACCATGGGCAGGAAGACCCAGAGCTAAACCACTGCTTTCTAGGCCCTTGAAGATTCAAGAGGCCTCTAATAACTTGGAGACCAAGGCTATATCTTAGGACCTGTTACTCCTGCCCAGTCTCCTGGAGTTTGGCCTCAGTCTACATTTGAGGGGCTTTGTGTCACTGTTGCTGGGTACTGTGTTAAACAGAAGGCCTTGGAGATGGAATCATGCCAACCAACAGCTTAACGTGAAGTTAACACGGCTACCACAACTGCCATTGACATCGCCACCTTCTCTTAAAGCAGCTACCTGTCTGGCCCCTAATTTTGTCTGGCTGCCAACTTAAGGCATGTGCCTACGCAGGAGATGATGACATTTTGGCTCCACTTTCAAAGTTTTTTTTTTCCTTTCTCATGTGTTATTTCTAAAGATAACAAAGGTCAAAAGGCACCAGCATTTTCTGGTTTCTCATAAGCTTCTGGTCAATATTTAATCTGGTTTATGGATTTTTTTTAGGTCTTCTAGATGCCTTCTTGAACCTGCTTGTGGCCACCCACAGACACTTGTAAGGAGGAGAGAAGTCAGCATAGCAGAGACACTCTGAAATGAGGAAATAGAGGCTGGGATCCAAGGATCAAGAGCTGCAGCCAGAACACAAGAAAGCAAGCCTTGAAGACACTTCTACTGAGAGGTCTGCCATGGCCTCTCTTGGCGTCCAACTTATAGGCTATATCCTGGGCCTTCTGGGGCTGCTGGGCACATTGGTGGCCATGCTGCTCCCCAGCTGGCGAACAAGTTCTTATGTTGGTGCTAGCATTGTGACAGCAGTCGGCTTCTCCAAGGGCCTCTGGATGGAGTGTGCCACACACAGCACAGGCATCACCCAATGTGACATCTACAGCACCCTTCTAGGCCTGCCTCCCGACATCCAGGCTGCCCAGGCTATGATGGTGACGTCCAGTGCAATCTCCTCGTTGGCCTGCATTATCTCTGTGGTGGGCATGAGATGCACAGTCTTCTGCCAGGATTCCCGAGCCAAGGACAGAGTGGCGATAGTGGGCGGAGTCTTCTTCATCCTTGGAGGCCTCCTGAGCTTCATCCCTGTTGCCTGGAATCTTCATGGGATCTTGCGGGACTTCTACTCCCCACTGGTGCCTGACAGCATGAAATTTGAAATCGGAGAGGCTCTTTACTTGGGCATTATTTCCTCCCTGTTCTCTCTGGTAGCTGGAGTCATCCTCTGTTTTTCCTGCTTACGCCAGGGAAATCACTCCAACTACTATGATGCCTACCAGGCCCAGCCCCTCGCCACTAGGAGCTCTCCAAGACCTGGTCAACCACCCAAAGTCAAGAATGAGTTTAACTCCTACAGCCTGACAGGGTATGTGTGAAGAACCAGGGTCCACAGCTAGGGGTGGTGGTGGCTGGGTCTGTAAAAACCAGTGGACAGCCCCCCCCCCCCC